TATTTTGATGATTGAAAACGTAGTTTTTAGGAGGCTATTTATAGAGAAAATCAGTTGGAAAGATAGAAAAACACATCAGAGTTTCAACGTGAAAAAACGAAATTAGTGTCAGGCGCTGAACATTAGCGCCAAGCGCTAACGCTAGCGCCAGGCTTAGTGCCAGGTGCTAATGAGTGGCGTTAGGAGCTAATCAAAATTCTTTACGCGTTTTCTAAATTCAGATAAAATTTGGCCGTACAGAGGGCAAAATCGTATTTTCCTTAAAAACACTCTTTTATTCTGATTAAAACTCTAAAAAGTCAACAAAAGTCAATTTATCAATGCTAATTGAATTAAGAATGAAAAGAACCTTCTAGAAGAATCTAGAAGACTAAAACCATTCATAATTGCATTAGGAATGATAAATTCATATTAGGCCCTCCTCTAGATCATTGGGCCGCATATAAGGCTCAAACCGGACCCAGTTTAGTAATTTGGCCATAACTTCCTCATTATTCATCGGAATTGGGCTTATAATATATCGTTGGAAAGCTCTTTTCAAACCCTATCCAACTACACCATTATTGGACCCATATCATGGACCACACTAAACTGGATTGTCTGTTTTCTTAAAATAGGTTTGAAAAGAAATATTTTCAAAAACAGAAAGAAGATATATTCTTATAAAAACATCCTCATCACTAGACTTTTCACACTTTCTCTTTGTTCGATAATCAAATGACGTGAAAGGTATTCATCATTGGGTTTGGTTTTGGGGAGACACAAATGGGTGTCTACACCCATAAAACAAATGTCACAATTAAAAGAACAAGCAGAGTTACTACTATGAGTACTACGACTACTAGAAACTCCTGGAAGAGAGCTCACAACTTGCATTGACGGATGCCCGAGACGCCTATGCCATAACAAGCTTGCATCTGAAATAACTACTTTGTTCGCCTGTAGATTCCGAGCACGAACCGGACGAAAAATATAGACCCCATCATATTGTACCCTCGCTCCAATCAAGTTCCTCAAACTGCGGTCCTGAATAATGCATAGCTTGTCAGTGAACATAATAAAATAGCATTGTTTTTCTAATAGTTGAGACATAGATAACAAGTTGCATTTAAGAGCAGGAACATATAAACATTATTAAGACTTAAATTATCAGAAAAAATAACTCTTCCTTCTTTTGTCGCCGTCGTTCTCTTCCCATTGGGCAAACCAACAGGCGAAGAGATGTCATGTAAATCAGTGAAAAGGTCAATATTACCAGACATATGATTTGAAGCGCCAGTGTCAATGAGCCTATCAATGGAATTATACGTACCAAGTTTGTTTCCATCAGATGAAGAACCAGACTTGGTGACGGGCGTTAGAACGGTCGCACATTCCACACTCAATCAAATAAATTTATAAATCCTAAAACTAACCCCTAAACAAGTCTAGTGGTAAGTTCGGAGTCGAACCACAAGGAACGGTAATGCTAGATTGTTCTTAATCTAATGCCTAAGCTATGCCGAAGTCGATTTACGGATAAAGGACACTACAACTACACTAAAACACATATAAAGAACAAGGTATGATAAAGTCTACTAGGGGAAAAGATCCACTTTGAACAATTAACAAGTTAATGGGAATCGATTTGATAATCAATCATGCAAAGAAAGAATTAAAATGGGAATTAATTACCATCAAGAGCAATCTCTCAAATTCCTAGCCTAGATCCCTCATTGACTAGGTGCATAGAAGAAATTTACCCAAAATGCAATCAAATATATCAATTCTAATTCACAATCCCTTGTCAAACTAAAACCAATATGCAATTAAGTGTGCTATCATGGGAGATCAATCCAATCTAAAACAAACAACATGCCAACATCAATTCAATCAATTTAATCACACAATTATCATCAAATTTATCTCAAATAACTCAATTAACCATAACAAAGCTTCACTCAACACCTAGTAGAAGGAAATCTACTCAAACATGATTAACAAAGCAATTAATAAAGCATAAAGAGAGAAGAGAGTAAGAAATGCTCATTGATATAAAATGGAGATCTTCAAATCATCAAATTCCTCCTTTGATTATCCAAAATCCATGAAAACCATTGTGCTCCTCACTTTCTCTCTCCAAAATTTGAGAGTTTCTCTCTCTAAAAACCTAAAACTAACCTAAAAACTATTCTAAACTGAAAAATCTCCTTTTTTTCTTTAATGAGTAAAAAATCTATTTATACCCTTTACAAAATTGCTTAGGAAGCTCGGCAAAAAGTCAGCTGAAACGGGAAAAGGTCCGACCGAACTCTGTGTAGGTTCGGTCGGACTCAGGGTAGGTTCGGCCGAACTCAGGGTAGGTTCGGTCGAACCTCCCTGATCCTTGTTTGGTCGAACTTTCCTGGTTCGACCCCTCCTGTAAACATGCTGAAAACTTGGTTGAAACTGCCTTGGAGGTTCGGTCGAACTTTTCAAAAGTTTGACCACACCTAGGTTCGACCGAACCTCTTAGAGGTGTGGTCACACCTCCTCTTGAACTTCCTCTTCTTGCTTCCTCTTCTTCCCTTTTGCTCCTCTTGTCTTTGTCCATGCCTCCATACTTGGCCAAGGGGCCTCCTACCGTGCTTAGGACCGTCATGGAACCTGCAAAAGATAGCAAAGATCACGAGAGCATGGGGATGATAAAATTATGCATAAAGATTATCAAAACAAGCGCAAATAAGCATACTTTTCATCCATAAAAGAAAAGGAAGCCATAAGAGGAGAAAAGAGGTAGAAAACCTAAGAAAAACAGGAGAAAAGAGACCAATACACTACCCCTAAGGGTAACATAAATGTCACTCATTACTTGGCACCCTTTTCAACAGACATGAGTTCCTTCCATTGATCATCAGAAATCGTTGGAACACTCCCACGATCCAAATCATAAACCGGCTCATTATTACCACGAGAATTTCCGGCAGCACCAGCGAACTCACCCTTGCCCTTACCAGATGACTGACCAACACTACCTCCACAACCACCACGACCACCACGCTCTCCACAGCCCCCACCCGGGAAGCCATAAAGCTGATAACAGTGGTCCTTAACATGACCAGACCTTTTACAATAGGTACACTCAAGCCGTTCTGAAGTTCAACCGGAAGCCGTACCTGTTGCATTAAAACCAACAGTCGTAGAAGAAGAAGAGGTTTCATGTGCCTCAGATACAGATTGCTTACGCTCATCAGCAACAACTTTAGCATAGGCAGCATTCATAGAAGGCAAAGGGTCACTCATCAACAAAGTAGACCCCACCGAACCAAACTTCTTAGGTTCCAAACCAAGACAAAACTGATGCAACAACTCATTCTCATGCAACTTAGCATATTCTTTCGCAGCGGAACAAGTACAAACAGGCAACTTCACATAACTAGACAACAAGTTTTGCAATTTATTCAATTCACCATAATAAACCGCAACAGAACAACCCCTTTGTTTGCAATCAGCTATATCATGTTTCAATTCAAAAATACGAGGACCGTTACCAAGAGAATAACGATCACGCAAATCATCCCATAAAGTTTTAGCATCATCGGGAATAATAACAGTAGAATGAATAGAAACATCAAGAGTATTATAAATCCAAGCAACAACAATAGAATTAACAATACCCCACTGACGGAAATCCGGATGCTTGGGATCGGGTTGAGCAATAGAACCATCAGCAAACCCGAGCTTGCTCTTGGAACGAAGATTGTTGTGAATTGACCTCAACGACTCTTCATAGTTGTCGACAGTAAGCAACACCGGACAGATCACCAATTGAGAACCTTCACTTGGATGAAGATAATAATCAGTGAAAGGCTCATATTTCGGAGGAGGAGGAGGAGGTGAATTATCATTGTCGCCGGCCATCACACCCACAAATACGAGCCACAAAAAAAAATAAGGAACACACCAAACTTGCGCACCACACAGGAGCACACGCCAAAGAACAAGCAGCACCACCACCAAGCGTGCACCACAGAGCACGAGCAACAACACCACCAAGCGTACACACTACAGACCAGCACAAACAACAAACAGCATCAACACAACACGCACAGAAAAGATGCGCACCAAACAGCAACACCACACAAACCCAAACAATACAGCACCCCACAATAACGCACCACGCAACAACGCAGCACACCACACAAACCAAAGCAGCAGGACGCTAGAATATGCGCACCACACACACACAGAGCACTACTAATGTAGCACCCAACGTATAAACCAAAATAAAATAATGCAGGAAATTAGGGTTAGGAATTCCTAATTTCGACCAAATTAAACCAGAAAATAAATTCAATTTGTGAAAGTAAATCAAATTATGAAGCCGTAATTTCAGAAAATTAATGCAGAAAATTAAAAAAAATCGAAGATGAACAAACCAGGATAAAAAAAATCTCTAAAATTTAGAGAGGCTGTGATACCATGTTAAACTCAAGGAAATCTGGAGAAAATGGCTTAAGCTTTGTATTGATAATTAACACCCATATATACACAATACATTAGGAAACCTAATAAGCCTAAAACTCCTAATAAGATAAACTTAACATAAATACAATATTAACATAAATAAACCAAACCGGCTCTAATAACAACATTTGCTACCATTGATCAAATATATATAGGGTTACAAGGGGTGAGCCCTAAACACGTAGGAAATCTCACAAGAGAATTACAAAATATTAACAAACTATATCCTTCTATATAAAATAATATCTAGAATACTTATCATATTCTATTAGATAGGATTATTAATTTATTATGCATAGTTTTGATTAGTTTCCTAAATTTTTGTAGGTTTAGTTAGTTATGCAAGGCTTGTTAATTGATGTAAGCTTGTATTAATATGCTTATGTGCTTTTATCCTAAGATTATTGGGACACATTTTATATTTTGGATATTAATTAGAAAAAGTGTTTACCAAAAAAAAAAAAAAAAAAAAAAAAAAAAAAAAAAAAAACCAAAATTTTATGTTGACATGTAAATACTCTTAATTTGATTGGTATAAATTGCAATTGATTACCAAAAATAAATGAAGAAAATGCTGGAGCTCGAATGTTTACATTCATCAGGCTTCGGCTTATGACATTTAGTTCTACCATGCTAGGGAAAAAAAAAAAAAAAACTTGTAAGTGTGTGGCTTGTAAATAAACATGGAAAGATCGAGTCAAATATCGAAAGCCAAACTTCTAGAATGAAAGAATGTACAATTGTACATACAACGATCAAAACAAGGGTAGTCGTCGAATTCAGCTCAGTTCAGCAGCTCTTTGTTACAGTTGCTGTATCGGAATTATAGCCCTGTAACTTGGGATACCGGCTTTTGTTCTTCTTATGCAAATCGGTTCTAGCCTTACGTGGTGCAAGTTGAGTCTTTTTACAATGCCTGTAATAAGAAATCACATCAGTCAGTCCCTTAGCAATCTTGCACTATGGAAGGTTGCATAATCAGAACTCGTCTCCAATCTGAATTATTTCACCACTACATTAACTGCAAGAAAACGCGATCACAACATTCACCACATATTGTTTTACTCCTAGAAGAACACTGGGATGAGGAATCTGAAATCTTAGTTCGATATATATCAGGCATTCAGAAAAAGATTTTGCAGAATCTCGAGCTTATTGAAACCAGCTAACTCGAAAAGGCAGGACAGGTACAAAAACTGTTATAAATTGTAAAGTTGTGCAATAAAGATCTTGGATTATATAATCAGGCTAAGCATCATACAGTATCCAATCTGTGGAAAAATACTCATGTGTAATGTGTAATAAAGCATGAGAATGGTAAAGAAGCTGCGCGACTGTTGATTCAGAAAAACTGTAAAACAGATTGTCACCAGTAGGCAGTAGCAGAGGTTGAAACTGATTTTACAGAAATTTATCACTATTTTAGAAATTGTGAAATTTTCCGGATATCCTAAAATAGTATATGACTATATGTTCCCAATAGAGAAAGTACTTAACAAATGATTGGTGGCATGTTCTTAATCTATTTGTTCACTTACATTCGAGTCTTCTTTTTGTCTTTTGATATTCTGATTGAACTTTCCAAACCCTCCATTTCTACACCATTTAACTCTTCCACATTGTTTGATGATTCACTTCTTCTGAAACACCCTGAAGTTCCGGAGTTTAGAAAGTCACTGCGACAGCTTTCAGCACTGAGCCGTGAACAAGTAAATGTTGCTGACCGCGAGTATCTTAAAGGATGTGGTGAACTCCCCACACTTCTGGATATCCCGCGAGTTACATGGTCCGATGAATTTGCTTCTTTCTTGAAATTAATATGAGAAGCAGCCATTTCCTGAAATGCCAATGCAACAGTAAAACATAAAATAATCATCAAATATACATCAGAAAATGACACATAAAAACGGATGATATATAACCTGTGTTGTTTCAAGAAGACTCTTTTCTAACTTATTCATCGATGCCTTCTCAGTATCTGAACTCATAGGATCGTCTTCAACTAAAGCTCGGGTTAGGTCAGGGTCACCTGTGAGTAAGTCTTCAAAGTTGCGGAATGTTATATCAACGTCTGGCATGTTGAAGTCATCAATGGATCCGAGTTCTTGACACATTCCAAGATCTTGCAAATTTTGCGACCAAAACTGCAGTGCCACATCCAAATAATCTTTGAGAATGTAAACCAGATTTTTCAAAAGCTATCAGAATCTACAAACCTGATCGTTGTCTACTGGACTTTTATTGTGCTGCCAAAAGGGATCTGCTACAGATGAAGATATATCCAGCTGAGAAATAGGCGAAGGAAAATGTTCTCCATTTAGCACTTGATTTGATTTGTCTAAGCTCTGAAGTTCATTAGTGATTTTATTGAACTCCTTGGATTGTTGTTTGAGTCCTTCATTGAGCAATGTTCCTGAATTACTGCGCATCAAGGAGGATGTAACATACACTCCATTATGTCGCAGTGATTTTTTCTGATTATCTCCTTCAGTAAGCTGAAGATTTTTCAACTCGAGAAGCTGATGCAGGATCAAACCATTGTTTTGCTCGCGTTGATGATTGCTGAGTTTCTGCATAGCAAATAATCTAATATAAGAGTTGATCCAATTCGTAGAAATTATGTTTTGCACTTTGTCATTCCAGAATTTCCAATTCTGAGTTTTTGATGAACTGAACTGTTGTTGACGCGTAAATTGGCATTAGCATACAATGAGAATTCAGTTCCTTGTAATGTATGTTAAAGTGTCTACAAGGCTACAGCAGAATAAGTTATACAAAGTTTTGCGACTCAACAATAATGGACTCCACAATCCTTAAATTTCACTAATCAAATGTATCAACCTCTATTAGAATTTAAAGAGGAAAAAAATAGAATCATCTGTACTGCAGGGGAGGGAGATTCTGACAAACCACAGGAGATGTAATCAAAAAGCTGTTGTTAAGAAATGGATGAGGCTTTTATTCTAGGTCATTGATACTCGAGGACTTTAGATTTCTGGATTCTAAGTTCTTTTATAGGTTAGCACTTATCAACCGTTAACTTCTGCAGGGTAAGCAGGAAAAGATAAGGCTGTAAATTAGTCCATATTCAGTTATAACATCAGCCGAAATAACAGAAATTTTCAGGTTACCTTCTGCTGTTGGCTGCAAGAACCCCGTTCAGTATCTAAACTAGCAGTAGAAGTCGCAGACTCTACTGTTGAAAGCTGATGGAGATCATTGACATCAAAGCCCCATAACTCTGCAAACTGCTTCACCGAAGGACATCCAGTAAAACTGCCAATCATCAGCTTCTTATGGTGAGCGAAACACTTGTGCAGGAACAAATCACATTCCTGACATGACAGCATCAGATGGTCTAAGCATCGAACACTGGCCGGATTTTCCTTGCAAGAATCACACAGAAGACTCCTTGAGTGACGACCAAAGAGTGCATTAGCTGAATGCACCTTAGCATCACAGGAGAGGCAGAGCAGTGCTGCATCTGCTTGGCAGTATACAACTGGTCCTGGCGCTCCACAAAATTCACATGTTTTTTCCATTTTCGAGTCCCTTTATTCATTGGCTGCAAATTATATATAGATTGTCAAACCTTAAAATATATTCCTTCGTCCACAATTAATAGTCACATTGTCCCAAATGACAGATTTAGCATTAGCTTCGTATCTAAAACAAGATTAATTTCTTACAAGACTATCTACACATTAGAACCATAATGTCTATGTATTGTATATAACCATTGATAGTGATATAGGTCAATACGATGTTTTAGTTTGCCTCAACCGTTCCTAGTCTTGCTACAATCGATCAATTTAGTATTTTAAATTGGTCTAGTCTTCTAGCAATTTTAAAATTTTTTGAATTTCAATTTGATTTAGTTTGGTTACATTCGTCCAATTTGGAACCAATGAACAGATCAAGTTTCAAACTTGCTATCTAATTTCATCCAAAGTTGATTGTCGATATAAATTAAACTTCATAGGTTAATAAACTCAAACATTTTGAATATCTTTAACCAACTAAAACTACTTATACTGGTTGCATAGTTTCTCAAGAAAAACAATTTATAAACCTAAGTCAAATTATAAACATTTTATAAACTATTTATCTGTGATGTCAACTATCATTTACTAATATTTTAAATGATTATAAACATAAGTCAAATTAATAGAGGGAATAAAAAAAATATCCCAACTCTGCTTTCATGATATAAAATATAAAATAATGAGCATTAGGTAAGTCTATTCATGTCATCTTAATCATTTCAACTATTATGAGAGTAACTTCTTTTTAGGGTGAACTCAAATTTAACTTAGGATCCACTAGTTTCTAAACTTGTTTTGGTTAGATCTCCTAATGATCCATTCAACACTACCAAAAAACACATGTGCAGATTCAATCTCAAGACTTGGTTACTAATATTCATTACTTTTGTACTCACATGTTCATAATGACGATCCAACCATGTACAAACTTCGTCTTATGTTACTAAACATGCTCAATTTATTACATGAATAATAATGAATCATATGATTAAAAAAAATAAAAATTAAAAACGATAAAATCATGTTATAGAAACATACTCTAAGAAAAATCCAACCTGAGAGTGAAGAAGAATCTTGATAAAATCTATCAAAGATTTGAGTGTTGTACTTCTCCCATTGAAAGACAGTTAAGTCATCAGTCAAGGTGATTTATCACCAAATAAGAAACCTTTTTTTTATATATTTTGAAAAATAAAAAAAAAATAAAAAAAATCTAAGGGTGTGTTTGGTTTTCTGAGTCCACTTTTTATCTAAAATCTATCCCTTTTTTGCAACTTTTTAGGGTGATGTGGATGGGGTTTATGGGCAAGAGCCATGCCGACGTGGGTCGACCCACTTGGCAAATGTGGATCCCATTTTACGTTATCCTTTTTTATTGGAAAACCTTTTCATGTCATCCAAAAGTTCACTTCCTTACCCAATCACATTGTCCCATCTTGCACGTTTGTTCTATTATTACTAGTCTCAAATTTTAGCATTTTTGAAAATTGATGGCGTTTGTTGTAAGCACTAGATTCAGTTAGGCACTAGCAGTATGTCAAATCGGGTTTACGGTTGGGGTTGTTATGGATGGATTAGGTTACATTGAAATCAAGTAATGTCGAGTTTAATCATGTTAGTGAGTAGTGATCGGGTAGGATCACCCTGGATTTGATTGAACTCGGATCATTTTTGGCATTGCTAAAACATATACTCCCTCCATCCCTAAATTACATTCATATTTGAAAATTTACACGGAAATTAAAAAGGAAAGAATAAGACAAATAACAATAATTAGATAATGCAATGAGAAGTACAAAACATTAAATAATATTTTTAAGTAAAACAAAGATAGATTAGTGATTACTCATGACATGTCATCAATCCTTTGCAAAAAAAAGGACCAATCACATGCTCCTAATTGAACTTTTTTACCAATCATATTCATTGTAATTTGGCACAAAGATTATGAAAAATTAAAGGCTGAAAAAGTACATTAGCCAACCAAACATTAAAAGTGGAATATAAATACATTAATTATAAATTAAAAGTACAACTGAAAAAAAAGAGCGTATGTTTGGGATATTTAGAGAAAAAAAAAAGCTTACTAAAAATAGAAATGGAAAAAGTAATTTTGGAATACCCAAAATTGAAAAGAGGAATGTAATTTAGGGACGGATGGAGTACAAATATACTATTTTATTGTTTTACTATTCTCATTTGTCCACGCCCATATGGCTTTTTTTTTTTTAGTGTTCCACCCGCCCATATGGCTTTATTCATCATTCTTGATTTTTTTTTTTTTTTTTGGGAAAGCTCTTCGCATGCACCTAGAAATTTTAAGAACATGGGGAAAAGTATTATTAGAATAATGAACAAAGTTTGTTCGTTCCGTGCAGTTCGGAACTATGAGGTTCTCACTTCATCCATCGGACCAGAAAAAATAGTTAAACCTAAGCATCTACAGTTTGGGAAGAATAACTTCAACTGACCAACATTTCCTGGCAAATATAAGAGTGCAGTGAAACTCACACAACTACACAAAAGCACAAAATCAGTAATAATACAGACGGAGCAGATTTTCTGCAAGTGGATCATATGTGCAGGACAAGAGAAATACAGTTAAGCAATATATTTCCAAAAATAGAAAGGGAAAAGAAAAGTTTTTCTTTTTCTTTTCCACTACTTGCTTAGCAAATTCCTCTACTGATTAAAGCACCAAGCGGATGCCAAACTTGGTAGTTTACCACAAAACATGAACGGGAATTCAAAAAATAGGGGGAAAAAATCATATCTTGTCAGCTTGACTTCACATGCACTTCAATAAGATCATCATCCTCCATCCCAAGGCTCTGAGGCGTTGATGCTGGATCAATTTTGTCGCCATCAAAAGTAAATACTAGGTTATGTACATCAGTCTTCACCTTCTGCGCATACTTTGTGAACAGCTGCTCAAATTTCTCATCCTATACCAAGGCAAAAGATAAACCAAGTGTTAATGGCTGAAAATTCATAAAGATGGCAAAGTAAAGCAAACAAATATCCTGAAGTAGTCCACATTGTCCTAAACCTTGTAAATTAAGAATATTTAATGATTTCAAAAAGGTACACTTTCTATAACTCTGTAGCCTTAGGTTCCCAATCCCCTGGTGTCTACTCTATTTCTCACTCCTTGAAATCGAAATTTAACATGAAGCTGCAGCTATTTAGCTATTATTATCGATTAATCTCTCAGCTTCATAGATTAACTTCTTCAGCAGATGTAGCTTGAGAATAAGTTATACAGAGTAATGCATCTTAAAGAAGGCAGAATTTAAACAGTTTGAAGGAACACATCATACTCCAAGGTTTTATATAAAAATATATAACTGATTTTAAGTTCATTTTAAACCAAATGCCTCACAAAACTAGCTTCTCTGACTTCAGTCACAAAACCACTAGTTTCAGCTACAAATCCAACAGAATGCCAGCCTTCCAGGAATATGTTTTGTTTATTGAAGAGCATAAAGAACCAGTACTAAATTCATTATCAGACAAAAAAATAAAATATTCCACCCTGTTAATTGTTATTAGAAATTAGCAGTCTACAAGAGATGGCATCATCAACAGCAACTCATCACCTATGTGGGCTCTCTTTCTGAAATCTGAATTGTTCAAGGTGTTCAACCTATTTGACCTACATTGCTTTTAATTAATCTATTGATCTCATACAAGCCAGAAATTAAAGAGCTATAGAGGAATTGACTGAGGCTTCAATGACTGGAATTAGCAGTTTGGATGGCATAAAATGTAGTCCAGACACATGCAAAGACTCTTAAACCCCACAGAAATAACAGTGAGCAGCATCACTCTTCAACAAAGCTTTCCTAGAAGTCTCAAGCTCTCGGCAAGCAACTAGACAAATAGTACTGATCACTTGGTTATCGCATGATAAAAGTCACCATTGAGCAGCAGTTATAGGCAAGTACCTTACCAACTACTTATGCCTTGTTTTATTTACCTTAGTTCCCCTTTTCTCTATGGGATAAAAAACTCAGCCATTCGAATGGCCATTATGTAACAAATATGGATTTTCCGTTCCGCAAAACTCCTTAACATAACACTGCAATAAATATCACGTATTTTCGTCATCCACTACATAAAGGTTACTCTTGCTGTGATAGAACTTATATTTTACTCATTACATCCATTTTCTATTTAAGTTACAATGATATATTAGTAATTAGTTAGTTAATAAATCATGATATTTATAGTAGAGTTTGGTTATATTAAAGGAGTGTTTTTTAAACAAGGTTTAAACTCATCAATGTTTTTTTTTTTTTTTTGAAAAAATTCACAACGCAGCTGCATTTTGTTCTTATATCCATTACAAGCCGTTTCCACAACATTGTGACAGTTATCGTGGTCACTACTGCAACCGCAATTCAGACTATGCTTCTTTCAGAAAAAGTTCAGATAGGGTAAATGAGTTCAGATATTACACATTGAATTAACAAGTCTTGATAAAGGTTAAAAAGGGTTGCCCAAGCCCAATATACAACTAAGGATACATTAAGGTTAAAAAAGGGTTACCCATAACTTACAACTAAGAATGTGTTCCATTCACCAGATTTTTACTCGAATTAAATGAACTTAATATAACTAATTTAAACCTACCTACCTACACTTATCTGAGCTTATCCTTATTAGAACTTATTTTTAATTGTGAATAAAATTGGGTAGCCGTTATAAACCTGTTTGAACTAATTTTTTCTGAACAATTAGGACCTCAAACCATACCAGTGTAGTAAGCGTAGCCAGCTGCGCATAATCTACCATTAAGGCATTAATTGACAAAGAATACAACTAGCGGCATAAAATGACCGGTTCATTGACTGGTTTACAGCTACATTGGTGCTAACATAACATCATTATCAAGCAACACTAGGCCACAGAAAATCCATAAAAACTAGGAATGTTACAAATTAAAGAAAAGTTCCTATATAACCAGTGTTACTATTCCTTTAGCCAAACTTCTGATTAGTGACTACTAAAAGTGAAAGCAAAGTTTCAAACAAAATCCAAATAATAAGAAACTCTAATTGAAAGCTATTAATTTATAAGTGAAACACTAGGTGACTCAACATGTTAAGATAATTGATGAATTGCATGCAGTCTTATGTCAAATTAACAAAGGTAATAAAATGTACCGCAAATATTCGATATTGTTTAGATCCAGCCTTATCTTGCATAGATATGACTATCTTCGTTCGATCAGCCGCAGCCGCAGGCTTTGGTGCTTCCTCGGCAGTTTCCTCATCAACAGAGTGAGATAAAGAGGGAAATGGTTCATCAGCAGCTTGTAAAGCTTGTCCAGTTGACTGGAGAAATGACGCACACTCCTGCTTTTTTAACCTGCCATGGAAATAGAATCCCACATAAGATTTTCTTCTTTTTTAAAAAAAGAAAAACAAAAAAAGCCCCTGTCATAAAACATAAAGACAAGAAAATTAGACGACCCAATCCTTAAGGCACCCTAAGTTAGATACTACAAATAAAAGAGAAAACTATCGGAGAAGTGAGAACACCACTTCATGGCGACTGTTGAGCAGATTATAATAACCAGAGCTCATTGTTTGAATTGAAAGAAATGTAGAGACAAAGAGGGATGGAGTATCTTTCATTTGGATAGCAAATGAGGAAGGAAGGGAATTGAAGGGGAGAGATATGGAGGGATTAAAATGTAAGAAATAATCTCTCCAATAATGGAGAGATTTTGAAGGAAAACTCATCATTCTTCTTACCAGCCCCCCCCCCCCCCCTTCCCTTCCTTTCCTCCCCTTCCCATCCCTCCCCTTCTTTTCATTCCCCTTTCACTATCCAAACAGCGTTAATTATCTTGCTTTAAGATATTCGCTTCCAATTTCAAGCAATACTATATTTGTCTCACTTGTCAAAGATATGCACCTGAAGAAATTCCACAATCCACACTAAATAGAACTACAATCAGTCAAAGATATGAAAAAGAGGAAGAGGCAACTAAAGCTAGGAGTAGACAAATTATTTGATAAACAAGCCTCTTAAAGATACTATTGATACTGCTACAAGCCTACACTGAAGTACCCTACCCAAGCAACATAGGTAATAAACCCAAAAAAGCCACAGCCTTCAAGTGTATAAAGGATACATACTCAAATTTGATGATAAGATAAACACATCTAAAACAAACAAACATATCCTGAATTTTACAACATAACCTTGAGAGTCTAACACCAATTACACGTGTCTACTGATTACAATCAGCTCATTCTCTAAATTCATTTATCGCTTGTTAATCCAAGTCCAAAATATCCTTCAAAGATAAATTTGGTACCAGAATGGCATGATTTGTAATAGTTCATCCATAGCTTTGAGACCCTTTAGAGACAAAGAAGAAAAATAATTGGAGACAAAGCTTGCTGAGACTTAGTAGTCCTTTAGTTGTGCATACAAATTTACATTTCCCAATCACCACAACAACAAATAACAACATCAAAGCCTTAGTCACAAAAGAAAGTTGCGTTTCAAGTATATTTCCAAATCTCAAGGAGTTTCAATAGCTAGAAAATGCTGAAAAATCTTTTGTTGACTGCAGTCCATTCACCTAGTATTACACTCCTTGGATGGCATAAACATATATAAAATTACATATCTCATCTACACATGTTCCATTCATCAAGCCAAAGAACATGACGCTAAATAGAATAAGGCCATACGGGGGTAAATTACATTGCCTTCCCACCAGACACAAAAGCTTTCATTAAACCCTTTTATTCAAATTCATTGATTCATTCTGCTTCACAAATTATAAGCGACATATATTGAGATTAAGCATGAGCAAATAATTGAACTTGTTGTATGTTCGTAAAAATTCATTGATTGCATGCTTATTTGCTCATGCTTAAGACCATGTACATTAGCACATATATAGAGATTAATTAATTAACATACAACATATGATATTGCCAAGGAATATGACGAGTAATATCAGGTGAATTGAACGTACCCTTAAAACAATCAATCATGGACAGCAAAAGTTATTCCCTTAAGACGACGTATTACTAAATGGTCTAAAAATTCTTAGTCAGACCACTCACAATAACTAGAAACCATCCATAACCACTTCAAACATGATACAGAATCCCTTAAAAACACTATCAAATAAAAAATAAAAATAAAAATTAAGCATGAACAAATAATTGAACTGAAGGAAAAACATACTACAATTTTTACCTCAATTGCTTAATGGTGGAATCTTCAAAAATCTTTGAAGGAGCTACATTCTTTGGAGGCGGCGGCAACAAATTCTCCTTTTCCTCATCTTCATCCTCGCAATTAATTACTTGAACTGATTTCCCTTTATCACTATTGTTCTCTTCATTATTTTTCTACAATACCCCAATTAAATTAAAATCACAATTAAATAAGCAACCCCAATTGAAAATTAAAGCTCAAATTACCAAAAAAATTATTTAAAAATCATCAAAAAAAAAAATAGGGAAAAAAAATACATCATTAGTGGAAGTCTTTCTCCGCTTCGGCAAAACGGAAGGCGAAGAATCTGAATCAGAATCATCTATTCAAACAAAACATAAATTATAAAAAAAAATTAAGGAAATATAACGAAGGAAGAAGAGAGAGAATGAGGGTCGGAAACCTTCAAGGTTGACGAAAGTAACGGGTTGAACTCGGCGATAATCGAACAATGGTTCAAGCTCTTCATACGAATCCCCCTTTTTATATGATTAATCAAACATCAAATTGAAATCGAATACAAAATTAAATTGAGAACAATCAAACATCAAATTGAAATCGAATTCAAAATTAAATTGAAATCGAATTCAAAACAAGAGATTTTGTGTAGAAAATTACTCACCATATTAGGGTAAAAATCTAGGTCTGGGGTTTTTGGAATTGGAGTTGAGTATGAGTTTAAAATCCCGCCGAAACTAAAATACGCAGTGCGCAACCCTTTTTTATCCTACGTCAAATAACACTTTGATTTTTAAATTTGTTAGAGTAAATATTACCCACTACTAATTATGGGTAATACTATCCAATACCACAATATAATTTTTTTTTTTTTCTTTTTCCTTTTTTTTCCCTTTCCACTTCATCTTCTTTTACCAACCTTCATGGATAGCTCCCATTGCCGACCAAACCTTCGCCCACCACACCTTCACCTCCTACAACAAGAAACCCACCCCACCAGCTACTTCCTTGATCGAAATTCAAAAACACGCAACTACCTCCGTTAAAAATCACCAGAAACCACCCAATAAAACATAACCCAAAAACGAAAGACACAAACTTATGGCTCTAGCCATTAAAATCAGTGAGTTCTATGCTGGAAATCGTTGAGTTCGGTCGAAATTGACGACGGAACCTGTTTGTCGGTGCTCAGTTATTATCACATTTACTACCAGCAAAAGCACCATGTATCAGATTTACTACCTGTTTTAAAAAATATTTTATATTACTACCACCATAATTCCCTAACTGTAGAAATAACTACCAGTGACTAACTCCGTTACTGTTTCTGTTTGAGGGGCCCACAACAATGGCAGCCACCCCTCCACAAAAACGGCAGCCACCCCTTCGTTCAACCACCTTGCAACCCCTCCCCTCAACTGCCACCCCCTCCCCCTGCCAGCGCGACCCACCGCATCCCCCCTGCCGGCGCGACCCCGCTCCCTCCCTTTCCCCCACCTACGCGGAAAACCCCCCTCCCTTTTCCCGTTGTTGCTGCCCCGACCCCCACCCTGTACCGGAAACCACTCCCTTTCCCTTTCCCCCACCGGAAATCGCCCCCCTCCCTATTCCCCACACCGAAAATCGCCCCCCTCCCTAATTCTAAACCACCAGCGCCAAACCACCCTAAACGAGGGTTTCGATTTCGGTGGTTTGGGGCTGGTGGTTTAGGATTTCGAATTCGATTTCGAATTTCAGGGTTTCGATTGGCTGGTGGTTTGGGGGCTGGTGGTCGGGGCAACAAGAAGGAGATTGGGGTTCGTTGGCTGCGTAAGGGTGGGGGGAAGGTCGGGGCGCCGCCGATGAAGAATTTGGTGGAGTTTCGCGGCGGAGGTGGTTTAGCAGCGGGCAGGTGACGATTTCGGTGCCTCGACACGAGGTTTGGGGTGGTTAGCAAGTGGGGAAATGGAGGAGGTGGGGTTCGCCGGTTTCGGGGAAACATTTGGCCACCAGCAAGGGGAGGGGGGAGGGTGGCTGACGCCGGGAAGGGGAGGGGAGGTGTTTCAGAATTATTTTTTTTTTAAAAAAAAGTTTTTTTTATATATAATTTAAATTATTATTTAATGAATGGGGCCTACTTAACGAAATCTTAACGGAATCTGTTAAGTGGTAGCAATATATACAGTTAGGGAATTTGTGTGGTAGTAATTTAAAATATTTTTTTGAACAGGTAGTAAATGTTACACGGGGTGTTTTCGCTGGTAGTAAATGTCAATTTTTCCTTAATTTTTATACTGTTATTCTTAATTTGTATACTATTATTGAGAGGAGAGAGACTACATTTTTACATCATGGATAAGTAATACGTAAAATTACATTTTTGCCCCTAGTATGGGCCCAACGAGCCCATACCTGGTAGTGGTCTATCACTACTCAAATTTGTTATGAATGTGTTTCTAAGAACATGTATGTGTCATGTAAACTCCCTTTATTAGGTCATAAGGTTTGAACACACAACCTCTATTTCTAAAGCTAAGTGCATTACCACCAAACTATATGATTTTTTTTATGCAATCTATTAATTATAAAATATTAATATGTAGCAAATGACAATATGAAAAATAAATTTAATTACAAGAAAATTGAATCATAAATTACAATTCATATTAATGATACAATAATTTGAGGCATCGCCCGGGTCCAAAAACTAGTTTAAATATTAAAAAAAAAAAACCAAAAGCTAATAAACTTCGCATTAGATGAGATTATTAAAGGCTTGTTTAGTTTACCTTATTTTTGCTTATCTGAACTCATTTTATTTTAGCTTATTTGAACTTATGTAATTTTGTCTAATCTGATTATCTAATTTGACTAAACTTTGACCTTAATAGAGGTGATTAATGGGCGGTCAGGTCGAGTCAAGGTCAAAACATCCAACCCATTCCTCAGGTCGGGACAAGCTTCGTTCCTGAATATATGTGTCCAAACCCACCCAAACTAGTCAGGCTAGGGAAAAAAATTGCATAAAAACTGATATTCCAAGCTCGCAAAAAATAAATTTTAAATCGGGCTTGGAAAAACTGAAAATTTTTACCTACAACCCTCTTTACCAATGTTTTCTACTCCCCCCCCCCATTATACTACGTCGTTTTTCTCTTCTTTTTTTTTTTCCTTTTTCTTATTATTTTCTTTTCTTATATATCTCTCAAGTAATTTATATATATGATTCAAAACCTACTTTTTCTATTTTTCGTTCGTGTTTTTTTTTTTTTTTTTGCATTCTCTCTTCTTCAACATTATTTCTATTTCAATCACGTTTTTTTCCTCTTATTTATGGATGAATCATTGATTGGATCTGTTGATTGTGATAACGAAGTATTGCATTCTTCGATTGCCGAATTTGATCGTGATTGTGAAGTTATTTTTGTAATGAAGTGCTACATTCTTCGATTGTCGAATTTGATCTTGATTGTGAAGTTATTTTTCCTACTTCTAGTCGATTGCTTGATTCATCGTTGATTAGTATGAGTTGTTTTATAATTTCGATTAATGTTTGTTATTACTATTCAATTAATTTAAGTTCAATTTTAATCAATTTTGTCTCTGATTTCGATTAATGCTTGCTGGTCGATTGTTTGATTCAATTTTGTTAGTTGTTTGTTTTAAATTGTTTGCTGATTTTAATTTTATTCGATTTTTCAAGTTTTTTTGATCAATTTAGCCTCTGTTTTTGTTCAATTTGGTTTGCTATTATAATTCAAGTGAATTGAAGTTTTATTTTAATTAATTTTGTCTCTTATTTCGATCAATATGATTTATAATTCAAGTTTGTTTGCTTTTTTAGTTTAATGATTGATGGTTGTGATTAAGTAGATTTTTCTGTGATTGATTATATACGTTTTTGTGTTTTTTTTAGTAGTTATATAATTTTGATCAATTTCATAATTCTAAATGATCATTATGATTCAAACTAATGTTCTGTTATAGTTGTTTAAACTATATTTTAAATGTTTATTACTTTATTTTATTTTATCATTTTGATCAAATTGATAATGCTAGATGATCATTTATACATGTATTGTTTTTATTGGTACATATCTGTTATTGATTATGTTCATTTTTAAAAACTTATTCAGTGGGTGCTAGTGACAAAATTATGTATGAAGAAGCAACTAAATTAGAGTTACTTTTTAAAGATTTTAATTCTGAAGAAGAAGCTTGTGAAAAGTACAATGAATATGCTTTTAAGAAAGAGTTTAGTATTGTCCTAGTGTGTGCTCCAAGAAAAGGCCAAGTTTCTTCAAGTGCTCCAAGTAATGTCCAAGTTTCTTTAAGTGTGCCAAGAAAAAAGGTTCAATTTCGTCCAAATGTTCCAAGAAATTTTCAAGTTCCTCCAAATGTTCCAAGAGATGTTCAAAGTGTTCAACGAGGTAGCTAGTCAACATATTTCTTCTAAGTATGATAGGTTGTTAGCTTTTTTTTACATTAATGTAGCGAATATGTTGGCATATAATAATAAGAATTTGGATTCAAACAATATATATTTGTTCGAGCTTAATTTTTTTTTTCTAATAAGTGATATGTAAATGAACATATTTTGTTTTGACACTGAACATTTGCCTTTTTGGCTATGAACATTTTATTGTATTTTGTTATAACTGTTACTTAATTGGACATATTTTATTCTGACAATGAGCATATGAACATATCCATATTGATATATGTGTGTGTGTGTGTGTGTGTGAGACAAACACTAATGAATTAAAAAAATATGAATATTAATGTACTTGATCATTTAGAAATCCATAAATGATTAAATATCCGAAAGAGTAATATTTTTAGTAATCTAAGCTTCCATAAATCTTCTTGCTCCTTTTCTATTGCCTCTAGCTTCTGTTTAATCCAAACAACATCAATTGAGCAATGTACTGTGTTCTCAGCTTCCTAATTTGGTTTATATGTAATTTAAACAAATTACTATGTTAATGTGTGTATTCATCGTTATGAAAATGAACATTATGCTATATGTCAAATTAACTTACTTGTGGTTCAACATGTTTCTATCAAAATATGATTCCCACCAATTACTATGTTGTTCATTTTTATCTTTCAATATAATTGATGGCATTATCTCCTGTATAAATATAGGCTTAGAGTTTCCATCTCTAAATTATTACAACGTGTGTTTCACTCTATATAGAACATCACTACAATATATATTGTGTTTGTATATCAATATATATGCATAAACATTACATTGATATTACAAATTAAATTCAATTGGCAAAACGGAAATGTATATTCTGTTTTATATAAATGAACAAATTATCACAAATAATATGAACATATATATTCTAACAAAAATTTAAAATATACATGTTCAAGAAGATATATATAAATGAACATTATCTTTCAATTATGTTACATGAACCTAAAGAATCTATATCAAAGTGTTAGTGAAATTAAATTTTTGTATACTTAAATGAACAATCATATATATGTATCAAAAGAATGTCCAAAAAAACATCATGTCAAAATGAACATATAATCTATTATAAATGATAATTATACCTTGTAATTGCAGACATGTCTTTTTCAACAGGGACACTTGTTGTTAGTATATCTTTTAAGAGTAGAGGATCAATTGTATTTTATTCACTCTTGATTGAATGAAATATCATTGTCATCACTGTTTATACACAGTTAAAAAAAATCAACTAAGAATTATATAATTCCATAATGTAAGTGACAATATGTGATTTATATTTGACCATTTTTTTTAAATAGAATCATATTTAAAAATAGAATCATCAAAGGTTTATGATGAATGAACAATATGTGATTTATTTTTTAACATGTGAATGAACATACTACATTAATATCTATGTGAATATACACATATCCAAATTAACATCTATGTATCAAATTTGATTAAGCATCTATCAATATTAGAGCTAAAATCCCACGAGTACGCTCTTCACCTTTGCAGGTTGGGGAGAGCTAAGAATCTCTTGAGAGAACGAAGGCGGCTTGTCTTTAAGATTAAGCAGGCGCATT